CTCCCCGCGTCGGCCTCGGAGGCCAGGCCCCCCGGCCCGCCAGCTCCCTACCTCGGGCATCCGATCTTCGGGGCAAAGCAGGGCTGACCGGGGGGCCACATGGGCTCCCACGCAGGGCGGCTGGGGGAAGCCGGGCCACTCTCACCCTGGAACGAGTTCAGCCAACAGGGCGGGAGCGTCAGTGGATAAGGCGCTGACCTCCGGTCCTCTCTGAGGTCGTTCTGTGAGCTTCTGCACGGGGTCCACGGCGGGGCCTGGGCGCCAGTTTCCCAGAGCGGTGACCAGTCCGGCCGCACCTCGTTCGCCAGCCTCCCCACTGCCTTCTCTGCCCTTCTGTCGCTCCAGCCCGGCTCCCACCCCTGCTTCCAGGGATCACGCACTGAAAAGCCAGCTGCCAGCCATGTCCTTACCTCTGGCTCTGTTCTCAGCGTTCCGCACCCTAGAACAATGGGACTTGGAATAACAGAAACAGAAATAGCTCAGGGTGTGACAAGTGCCAGGAAGGAAACAGGTGGATACTGATGGAAGAAAGCAGGGGGCAGCTGACGAGGCTGCTGTGGCGGGGGTGACCAGAGGAGGGCCTCTCCTGGGAAAAGAGCTTGGGTCTTCTGGACGTGGCTGCGGTGAGGGACGGAGCGTGGCCAAGGCTCGTTCTCATCTTGACTGCCCTCCAGAGTCGCCTTGGAGCCTCAGAGGGAATCCAGGGCTTGGCCACACCCCAGAGGCGCTGGCTCCCTGGGAAAGGCAGGGCCATCAGCTGTTTTCCAAAGCCCCTCTTTGACTCCAGCTCCGTTGCTGGTGGGGACCTCGGGCAAGGTGACTCTAGGCCGGGTGCTGAGTGCTCGGCTTCCCTGTCCCCACTATACAGCTAAGGTCCCTGCCAGAGAGGGTTCCGGGTTCAACCACGTGCTCAGGGCCGAGGGGCTGAGCCCGGTCTGCTGGCTCCGAAGCCATCGGTCCTGCGAGGGGCTTCAGTGGAGGCAGGGATGGCAGTTCAGGCACCTGGGGAGGGCCGGGGGACACAACTTCCAATGGTGGCAGAGTAAAGCCCTCAAACGCTCCTGTCCTTGTCAGCTGGCCCTGGCAGATTCTTTCAAAGGTCCCTGGCTTTGCGATTTTGGGACTGCGTCCAAGAATGGCCCCATCCATCCATCCATCCATCCCTCCATCCATCCAACGCACGTTCATAGACAGCCCACAGCATGCCCTGTACGCAGCCTCAGGGAGACTGGGTCGAACAAGACATAATCCTTGCCTCTAGGTGAGTCTACTGGAGAAGGAAGATAAAAAAAACAACCAATCAACCAATCCATGGTTGGAGCCACACTGTGACCGGTGGTCTGTGTATGCCACGGCAGCATCTTCGATCTGGTGGCCCAGAGATGATGTTAAGGGGTACAAGGACACAGACTTCAGTAACAGAGTCCCAGAGTAAGGTTTTGCCTCTCTTTGATCAGCTCTTCTGATCCTGTCAAAGAGAAAGCCTTGGTTAGGTGCTAGGAGGTCCCTAACACTAGCTGGTCACCCTATGTACAGAGAGAGGGTGGGCCTTGGGCTCAGAGCCCAAAGTAGGTAATGGGAGGTGGTTAAAATGTAATCATATGGAGGGGCACCTGGGTGGCTCAGTCAGTTGAGTGCCTCTTGCTTTTGGCTCAGGTCATGATCCCAGGGTCGTGGGATTGAGCCCCACATTGGGCGCCACACTCAGCACGGAGCCTGCTTAAGATTCTCTCTCTCTCTCTCTCTCTCTCTCTCTCTCTCTCTCACTCCCCCCTCCCCTGGTTGTACATGCTCTCTTCTAAAAAGAAATACAAATGAAAAAAAAAAAGAATCATGTTTTTGCTTATTGTATTTACTTGTATGGTATCTTGAGTTTCTGGCAAATATAGTGGGTTGAATGGTCACCTCCCACCCCCAAAAGATATGTCCACATCCTACCCCCCAGTACCTGGGGACATGACCTTACTTGGAAACAGTGTCCTTGCATATGTTAAGAAGTTAAGCATCTCTAGGTGAGATCATCCTGGATCAGACAGGGTCCTAAATCAAGCAACTGGTGTCCTTGTAAGAGAAAGGGGGTTTGACACTGAGGGACAAAGGAAGGACAGCGTGGAGACAGAGGCAGAGACTGGAGCGAGGCGGCCATATGTCATGAACACTGGGAATGCCAGCAACATTCGAAGCCAGGAGGGAGGTAGGGAACGCCCTCTCCCTCTGAGCCCCCAGAGGAAGTCAGCCCACATGACCCCTTGATTTCAGACCTCCGGTCTCTAGAATCGTGTAAGGACATCTCTGTTGTTTGCAGCCACCGAATTGTGGTCATTTGTTACGATGGCCCCAGGAAACACATACAGTGAGTGGTATTGGTTTTGTGTTTTGTTCCCAGGGGTGAAGTCAGTCCCTTTTAAATACAGTAAAACCTTGGTTTGCAGGCATGATTTGTTCCAGAAACATGCCTGTCATCCGAAGCACTCAGATCCAATTGTGAACAGTTGTATCACATCGAGTATCAAATCGAACTGTGATCGGTTGTGACCATGTGACCCTCGGTGTCCCGTGCTGCTCGCATGGCAAGATGTCCTTCGTTGATCAAGTTAAAGTTTGTTGGAAACGTGTGCTCGTCTTGCAGAAGGCTCACAGAACAAGGTGCTTGCAATCCGAGGTTTTACTACGCTGGGAGGATAAGGTTAGTGTGGAGCTGAAGCGACGTTTGGGTGTCAGGTATGTGTGTGTGTTCCGGGGGGCACAGGCCGCTGTCCTGGAGGGAAATTGGGCCAAGCTGCGTGACGTGTGGCCCGGGAGCAGGGTGGGCCCAGGGCCTTGGCACCGGGGTTTGGGGCGAGTGAGGTGTCTCAAGGGCACGGGAGGGCTCACACTGCCCATCCGCACACTCGAGAGTAAATTCCTGGGAAGCCCCATGTGTTCCCGTCTTGGTGATTCAGACCTATCTTCCTTCGGAGAGGAGCGCTTCAGATGTTGAAGGTTTTTTCCCACGGCTCTGAGGCGCCATGGGGCGTGAGGACAGGAGGGGAAGGTGGTTTCCAGCAGGCGGCCGCCGAGCAGCCATCTTCCCTGAGTGCAGGGCTCAAGGGCACCATGCTGCCCGCCCGTGGCTTCCCTGCCCTTCCACGTTCCAGGTGGTACCGGGAGATGCAGGGACAGGCCTACTGGGCACCTCCACCAGGGCAGACCCCCTGCCCCCCCCCCCCCCACCGGGGGACACTGGGCCACTTCGTGCCCGAGGGCCCCCAATGCTCTGGGTGAAGCCTCTGCTGAGGGCGCTCCCCAGCTGCCTTACAAACAAGAACCAGAGACTGGGAGAGCCAAGTGGCTGGCCCCAGGCCCCCAAACGAGCCCCAGGCCTCTCCCAGGGTTTGAGCCTGGGCTGGGAAGGCGGTGGGGGAAGTTGCCACCGAGGGCGTCATGCCCAGAGCCCCCCAGACCCCCAGGCCGCCTGCACTTGGCCTGTGTGACTCCCTCCGGCCTAACAACCCACGAGGCGGGCTCCTGTCTTTGCAGACAAGGAAACCCAAGCACAGAGAGGTGACCTGGCCGTGGCCACAAGGCTGGTGAGCGCCAGAGTCTGGTTCTAGATTCTGCCTCCTGACGAGAAGCAGGCATCTCCCTAAGAGCCAGGAGGCAGAGGAGGAAAGAGCCACCCCTCTGTGCCCAAGTGCACCATGCAAAGGGCCTTCAGCCAGACAGCACCTCGGGGTCCCGCTGACTAGGTCTGGGGCCGTGACCGTGGACAAGTGTGCCAGATAGTTCCAGCACCCATTCATCCGAGAACTACTGCCTCCCCTCCTTCCTGTAAACAGCCCAAAGACACTTGGCCCGGCAGCCAGGGTCTCAGAGTGCGTGGGCAGCACAAAGCACACAGGCCTGGGCTTGTGCTCCAGGGTCCTTGGGAAGGGTGCTGAGCCCCACTGGGCCTCCGCTTCTTCACGTGGGTGAAAGCAGTGCTGTGCTGTGGAGGGGCCCTGGCTGGCACTGGCCCCTCACCGCTCACTCCCGGTGCTGGTCTCCACAACACGGGGGCCTGGCCCTTGGCTGGCCGAGAGACAGCCTCTTGAGGGAGTCCCCCAGTAGCTGCTATCCCCAGTTCCACCCACCCTGAGCCCTGTCTTCCCCCTTTTCTGGGAGTATCCTTCCAGCAAGTTCCTTTTCCTAAACTGAAGTCCTCGAAACACATGAGTGACCGTGTGCCTGCCAGGCAGGGCTACCACGGGGATGGCTGAGGCTGTAGGCCAGGTGTGGCCCAGCACCGGGCACCCTGCAGGCCACGGTGCAGGGCACGATCCAGCCTCGACCCAGGGAACCCCATGCCTTTGCAGCCCCAGCCTCGTGGGCAGGCTTCCGGGGAACTAAGCCACGCCCTCAGCAGCAGCGTTCACCTTCGACCAGAGATGTTGCAACCCTTGACACAAAGCGGGGGGCGGGGTGACCTGTTTATATTCCGGGGTCACTTTGAGTTTTACCTCATGGCCCAGAAGGTCCCGGCTGTTTCTGAGCCAGGTTTAAGCTGGAGAGCCTGCGAACCCATCCCCAGAGCTCACGCTGGTGCACGCCGATGTCTTCTGGAACGGGGCCTGTCCCAGGGCTGACTTCAGCAGACTCTGTCCTCGGTGGGGAGCACTTCCTGCTTCCCGTGGCCAGCGGCATGTGCCAGCGGTGATGGAGAGGCTCCCCGAGCTCGTCCTATGAGGTAGGGCCGTAATGGCCCCATTCCACAGATGCAGAACCAGAGGCGTGGAGGGAGAGCCTCCTGCCAACAGCACAGGCCAATCTCATTGGGCCCGGCTGGGCCCGGAGCACCGCCTGAATGCGGCCAGCTCCCTCTCGGGAACCGGGGAATACCTGGCCAGGGTGGGGGCGGGGAGGGGGCCCAGCTGCCACACCCCACCACGCAGCCGCAACGGGCCAAGGGGGTCAGGCCGCAGAGAACCTTCCCCCTTTGCGGGGTCACGGCCTCGCCACCGCAGCACCACGGAGCAGCCACGTTCTTGGTAACTTTTGCTGTTTTATTGCCAAGTTCAAATTTACCAGGAAGTTCCAGTTTTCATTTCCACCCTCGTGTTGGGAGCCCACAAAGCATGAGTCACGCTGGCGACAGCAGGTTCTTCCCTGGAACGGTCCCTTGGCCCAGAAGCGGGAGGTTTCTCAACCCCTGCTCCGCCTTGGGCCGAGAATTATTTACATATTTTCACCTCAGAGGAACATAAGGAACCCCGATAGTTTATGCCCAATGTCAACATGACTACATTAAATATTTCTTATTTATTGCATCTAGAAAAGATGAGAATCCGTTCACCCCGTGCCTTTATTTCTAACAGTGCGTCGTGAGACTTTAGGGAAATCTAGTGTATGTCTTTAACGAGGGCTGTCCCTTCACTCCCGCCTGGGGGGGGCCTTGCTAATTCAGGTGTTTGGGTGGGGGGCTGCCCTCTGCAGAGAGTGGGGCGGGGTGGGGGGGGGGCAGACAGGCCAGAGGGAGAAGGGAGCAAAGGCCTGCAGTGAGGCAGGCCGCGTCCCGGCCCCTCATCTGCCCCGCATTCCTGTTGTGGCTTTGGGGCTGGTCCTGGGGAGCCCCTGGCCTCACCCCATCCGACCCTCAGGGAGAGGTGCCCTGGCTCGCTCGGGCCCTTAAGCTCGAAGGACGTATGCTTCCCTCCACAGCAACTTTCACAGCTGAGGTTTGGGGGTTTAGGCGGCGAGCCCTGCCCCTGGCTTGGCAAACTCACTGGGCCCAATGGACTTGAGGCAGGTGGGCCTGGCCCCTCTCTCTGTAGGGACACGGAGATTGTAGGCTGGGTGGGCTTGCCGAGGAGTCCAGAAGGTTTGTGGTCCCCATTCCTGCTCTGCCAGGATTCCCCGCTCTGCCTCCCTCTGCCCGACCCTGGGGTCCAAGTGCCCTCTGCCTGGGCTGGCCTGCCTGGGAGCACCCCGCTCTTAGGCTTGCGGGGTGCTCCTGAAGACGCGGCCACGCCCAATGCCGCCACGATGGTCAAGACCCAGCCCTCTGATGGTCCTTCATCAGAGCCAACCTCCTCTGGACCCCGGACCTCCTCGCACAAAGCTGTATGCCGCCCCCCTCACCAGCAAGGTGCCTGGGAGCCCCTGCTTAAAGGAAGTCCCCACCCCACACCTACAGGTGTCCCACCGAGGTCGCAGGACCCACACCGCAAGCCCGCCTTTGGGAGAGGCCTGCCCTTGGCGATGGACACGCTTGCTCAGCTGCTGCTGGAGGCTGGGCTGTGTTCCCGTCTCCCGGCCCCGGCAATGCTGCCGCAGGGCCCCCGAGACATGCTGTGCTCCCATCTCTTCTCCAGGGCTCGGTGGCCACAAAGCCACTTGGAGCCATGGGATTTCTGGTGGCAGGCTGGCGGTCCCAGGGCAGGGGGCGGGGGACCTGCATGGGCTTGTTCTTCCCAATAACGCCCCCGGGCTGGGAAGTTATTCGCCTTCTACTACTGCCCCACAGCCCCTGCCAAACCAGGGAGCCAGCCTGCTCTTACGTCCCAGCAAAAAATCACATAGAACACAGAACTGCTGACACGCCCTTTCTCCTCCCCGGCCCCTTCCATCCCTTCTGCCTTTCCTTCCTGGGTGGGGGGAGGGGGGGCCCTGCTGATGGGTCACGGCTTGTCCCTCCTCCTGGGGCCCCCGGAACTTCTGTCTGAATGGCCTCCTTTTCCGAGCTGGGTCTCTTCCCTGTTGAAGCGGGGTGGGCACACCCACCCAGAGGGCTTCTGATGATGGAGAGCCCCGTCCCCACGGGCACCGTGCCCCTCCTCTGCGGGACCACCATGTTTCTTTCAGGAGGAGGACACCTGGCTTCGGCAGGCCCTTCTACACCAGCAGGATGAGGGAAGCCAGGGAGACCCGCGGTCCTTGAATAGGTAGACTGTGAGGGCTCAGAGCGCCTCCTGAGGCCGCCCGACACCCGGGCCCATGTGTGCTGGGACTCCCGGGGCACAGAGGAGGAGAGTCTGGAGGGTCTCAGCGCTGACCGGAGAGAGGTGAGGGTTGCATGGCTGCACCTGTCCAAGTAGGCGCTTTCTCAGATACGTCGGGGAACCGGCCTGCACGCGTCCAGCTCAAATGGAGAAGCCACTGGGTGGGCGTGGGGGGCGGGGTTCCTCTTTAAAAATAAGCTTTTGTTTCTGCAGTGGCAGCCGGGAGGAAGGGCGGTGGACCGGAGTTCCCTGGACAGCTTCTAGAACTGGGGCGTGACCCCGCAGCGGGCGTCTCCCCACACTCCCGCCTGGGCGAACACACATGGTGGGGACACGGGCCACGCACAGGACAGCTTCCGTGGCCTTTCCTTTCCATCCCGGCCACACGGCCGGAGTCTGCACGGTCCCAAGCGGTTCTTTCTAGACAGAGAGAGACGGCAAGATCTGAAGGTGGAGCTGGGCAGCAGCCCTGACTGGTTTCGGTGCGGAGAGACGAAGGATGGGTCCTGAGTGGGAAGCTGGCCGCAGCGGCCCCTTTCCCGGGCAGGCGTTTCAGGAAACGCAAGGCCCCGTGGCTACCACGCCTGAGAAACCTCTGGCCCTCTCAGCTCCATGTGTACCTGAGAATACGTGGGGGTCTCCTTTACTGTTGTTGAAAAAATAATCTAAACTTTCCAGGAAGGTCCTTGAATCATTCCACAGGCTTGCGGAGTTAGCGAGTCATAGAGAAATAAGAAAACGGAGAAAGCCAGACTGAGAACTTTAGAACAAAACGCTGGGAAGTTCAAGGGAAGACAAAAATGAAATCTTAACAGTAACATCACATGTCTAACATGACGCCAAACCTCAGGGTTGAGGATTTTTTTTTTTTTTGGACTTTTTTTTTTTTTTTAAATACACGCTTTTTAAATAAATGCTTTTCATCTGCTGCCGAAAGCGGAAATAAATATCCAAAGGAGATGCTTATCCAAGTTTGTTTCTCTACAAATTCCTACCCAAAGTGACTTGGTTCGCTTCTTCTGTGCACACTGGGCATGGTGGCCAAGGAGCTTCCAGACCGGAGCGGCTGGCTGATGACGAGAGGGTGCGGGGGTCCTGCCACCCCGGGGTCACCAGGTTCAGAGACCGGGAGGCCAACCTCCTCCCGTCCCCTGGGTTCACTGGGGTGTCTCCACCGGGTCCAGCCTGCTCTCCCAAGAGGCGCAAAGTGAAACAGGAATTCAAAATGAAGCAAAGGAGCACAGGAATGGGTGCAGAGATGGTTCCGGGGCCGCGGGGACCGGGGTGCTCCTGATGTGTCTCTGGGTCAGCAGTACTGGGTCCCTACCGGCGGGGCCACACACACACACACACACACACACACACACACACACACACACGGGGAGGCCACTAGGCGCCCGCTCAGTGCTCAGCGGGGCCCGCTGGCTCCTCGCCTGGCGTCGCCGTGCCCGCTGCGGGTGTCACAGGTGGCGGGGGGATGCCGGGGAGGGTGCGGAGGCTGTGGGAGTCGACAGGAGGGACAAGGGTCAGCGACTCCACGCTCAGTGTGTCGGCAGTGTCCTCACAGAGCAGGGAGATGGTGGGCTGCCGGGCGGGGATGAGGCTGGGGGACAGGTTGGCTGTCTCCACGTCTGTGCTCCTCGCCAGGCTCTTGCCGGGCCGGGCGTCTGCTTCTGTTTCGCTGACGATCACCAGCTGGCTGGGGAGTTTAGGCTGAGGCTGTTCCGTAGTGACGGGGTCGTCTGGGCGGGGGTGGGGGAGAGAGAACAGGGGTACTGAGTTCCGAGATACTCTGCTCACGCGGGCACCCTCTGTCCCGTCCTGAACAAAGGCCCAGGGAAAGCCGGGTGGGAGACGGTGGTGTGGGGGGAACGGCTTGTCTCCACTTCCTCCGTCTGGGGACACAGGAGCTGGAAGCTCCAGTCTGACCTAGGCCTGGGGAGAAATCTGTCGGGGCCCAGGGTTCCTCTGACTTGTGAGGTGAGAGAAAAATTAGGGGCTCGTGCAGAATCGACGAGTGGATTATGGAGCCGGGAAACGGCCCAGGCAGGATCTCCGTCAGGGAGAGTCTTGGAGCCCCTGCCTGACGATGAATACATGTTCGGGGAGGAGATGGGCTTGGATGTGCTTATCACTTCAGGCCATTTCCGGAGCTTACACCTGGTGACGTTTACCCAAGAGGGGACTCGCTGCAGTTTTTTAAAAAAAAAAAAAAAAAAAAAGGGAATTCTCTAGAACTTTTCAGCTTGCAAAACCAAACCAAAACCTCAGACTGCTCCTTCTCGGAGAGCTGAGTTAGCAGTCAGAAAGGGGCTGTTACTGCCCCGGGGGCCACTCCTACCCTAACTGTCTCTATAGGGGTCATGGAGAGAGACCAGGCAGGAGGAGGGCAGGGGAGGCTCCGCCCAGCAGTTATTTTTGGAGTGGCAATTTCTTTGTTTTTGGTGCTTTTCAAAATCATTGATTAGATTACAAGCAAACGGTCGCTTTGCTTTCCAATGACGAGTGTGCCTGGACGGGAACGGTGGTGGCTGGGGCTGGGCTGGGGGCTCACAGCGGAAAACACCTTCCGGGCTTCCAGGAGTGTCGGCAAGAAAGCTGTGGGCATCTCGCTTGGAAAGCAAACATCGCATTTGTACAGATCTCGGGGTCCACAAGCCATCAGCAGAAGATGCTGATGGCAGGGTGCTGAGCCCTGAGGCCCTCTGGGCCCTGGGAAGGATGCTCGACACAGTTTGTTCAATGGGATTCCAGTTTTTTGGTTTTGTTTTTTTTTTAAGGCAAGCCAAAACAAAATAAACTGCAAACTGAACATACAGCAAAAGAATGGGAAAACCAAGAGCAAAATAAAACCGAAGGGTGTACAGAATGGGATGCAGGAGAGAAGGAGGCTCCCCATCGTGGAGAGAAAGCACAAGCAACAGACTGAGTGTCCCAAAGAATACGGAGAATTCGTTTCCCCAAGGCTCCTGGGCAAGACAAGCTCTCAAAGATCGCTGTTTATTCCTTCCTACAGCCTTTGGTTTTCTTTCTTTTTATTGTTATTATTATTATTATTTTGATTTTTTTCTTTTAAGAGAAATAAGGCCCAGAGAAAACCACCGCATAGGGCTTTGGGTCTGTCCTTGCTCTGTGCTGGGTCACAGAGGTGGCTGTGAGCACCAGTGGAAAACGTGATCCAGGGTGCGAGCCGAGCCCAGAAATGCTGAGTCAACACTCCACGCGCATTCTGGTTTCTCCGAATCTCCGTGAATTTGCTCCATTTGGCCAGGACCCTTGTGGCATGGGCCGCCTGCCTGCGAGGCGCAGGCTCCCGGGTGCTGGTCAGAGCCTACGGTTCCCTTCTGGGGGCTCACCTGCTCTGGCAGGCTTCCACCACGCTTCCAGAAGCGGGGAGCAGGACTACGGGCCCATGTCCGGATCCACATGTGAGCTTAGCTGCTGACAAGGCAGTTGAGAGAGGACTAACTCTCCAAATGGCACTTTTGGGCCGTCTGGAGACTGAGCTGTGGAGTATTTCCTTCACTCTTCTCCCAACTTCTATGTAAGAGTCTGCATTTGCATGCAGATATTCAAAAAGCTGGCAAATCTCTTTCCCTGATCCCTAGCGGGGTTTTTGGTGATGAGAATAATCAAGGACACGGGAAATTGCCACCAAATGTATTAAAAAACCAACCAACCAACTAACAATACAATAGCACACACACAAAATTGGTTTCTTCAAGAAAAGAACCAACAGTTTTATTAAGAGGGTCGGGTTTTTTCTCCTTTAAAAATAGCCTTTTTCAATTTTTTATGGGAAAAAAATAACCTTTCGCCCATCGCCCACAACACTTTTTTTTTTTTTTTAAACTAGGAACTGTTTTCTGAATGTGATCTACAAATATATCCATTCAAGGGGGATGAAAAATGAGAACTTTCTCACCAGGGAAAAATTACCCCTCGGGGACCTATTTTCTCGCCCAGTGCTGGGCTGTGAAGGTTACTGCTGAACTCTTGCTTTTGCTGGCCTGCTGGTTTTGAGCTCGAAGGCCACAACTGGGGGCCTGGCCCTGAAAATGAAAGATTCGGAGAACATTCTGGTTTCCTGGCCAGGAGCCGGGGAGAAGCGTGGAGGCCTGAGCAGAAGTTCTGGACGTCCAGGTTTCCGTGAGAGACGCTGGGCCTCCCACGGCTCTGCCCTTAGCTGACACCAAGGCAGTGGGTCCCCGTGTCCCTGGCCAGCACCCTCAGAAGCTGATCCCCGGCTCCGGGGCAGGGGCTCAGCTGGCCCTTGTCAAGTGACAGTTTCCAGGCAATCTTTGGGGTTGTGTGCTCAGGCTGGGAGAGTTGTGGGGGAGGGGGTCGTGCAGCAGAGCATAGCAGGTCGAGGGCAGAGCTCAGAGAAAGCAGCTTTTAAATGCAAAAGAAGGCAAAAGGCCCCTGGCTGGCAAGCACCACGGCCAAGCAGGAGGTGCGTGTAGGAAACCCTGAAAGAAACTTTGGGAAGGTGGGAGAGGGAGCAGCCGTAGACCCCAGGGAGCAAGCAGCATCGGCAGCTACCTGGAGGACTGCGTGTAAGAAGCGGGGACAAGGGAGTCACCACCCATCAGTGCTCACGAAGGAGCTGCTTTGGCCTCTGGCTGAGGCTGGACTGAATCTACTGCTGAGCTTTGAGCAAAGCTGGGGGGGGGGGGGGGGGGGGGCCGGGGGGGGGAGGTAAGAAAGGAAAAGAAAAAAGAAACTAATTGAATTCCTGGTCGCTTTCTGCAAATTCTACTGCTTGCCCTTGGTGGCCAAATCCAGGGGGCCCTGTGATGACTGGGCTGGAGAACCCCCACCAGCTGGGCGGTCCCAGAGAAGGACAGTGTTTCCAGGCTGCCGGGGCTCTGGAGGGAGGGTCGGAGGGCGGGGGGTTTGGTCCTCAGCAGAGGCGAGGCCGGAAGGAGAAGGGAAGCCGGGGAAATGGCCGCTTGGAGGGGGGCTCACAGCCCTGGTCCCCGGAGGCCCGGCGAGGCCGCGGGCCGCGCAGGCTAACGGGCGAGACCTGCCTGAATTGCCTGCGAGAGCTGCCGTGAGCGCTGCCGTTCGAAGCACTAAACCCAGTGGCCGCCGTGACTGTCGGCCTCCGACAGGCTGAACACTCGCCGGCGTCCTTTCCTGCCACTCCTGACTAGAGGGAAACACAGCGACAGGTCACAGACAGCCTTTAACAACGGGACAGAGAAAGGGTGCACGGAGAGGGGCGCAGAGCAGCGGCGGACGCCAGGCGTGGACGAGCGCGCGAGAGGAGCGTGGCAGGGGCCCAGCGGGTGCCCACGACAGCTGGGGGTGGGGGGGGGCACGGTGCCCGAACGGGCGAAGCCCCCAACTCCGCCCCACCAGGACGAGGTGCTGTCGGGACGGCCGGGGACCCGACCGTTTGCCCGCACGTGGGGCTCAGTCGAGGATAAAGACGGTGAAGGTTCAGTCCCACTGGAAAGGAAAGGCTTGGGGTCATCAGTGACACGGGGCGTCGGGGAGGAAACCTCCAGGGACAGAAGAACAGAACGGCCTGTCAGCACCCCGTGCGAACCAGCAGTTGGGAAGAAAGCCCTGCGTCCCCAGGACAGTGTGAAGAAGGGCGTGTGGTTGGGGGACGGGAGCCGAGCCGGCTAATGAAACAAGCAGATTTCTGGGCCCAACTTATGAGGCCAGTGGTCCCTGCCGTCACCACACTAAAGCCAGCGGTGCAGCTCCTCACGCTCTGGGGAAGAGCCCTGGACGGGCGAGGCGCTCCCGGACCCTCCCCGGCCGCGGGGCTCCACTCTCCAGAAGACACGCAGCTGGTCTGAACCTTTAGAAACCTGAGACGGAGCCTCAGCAGGAGGGCCTGAGACCAAGGTGCCGAGAGAGGCCGGGGGCGGGTTGCAATCGGCTGCAAGAAAAATGTTAGGAGCATCTCCTCGGGAAGGAAGGAGCCATATCTGTGACTCGCACTTGGGATTAGAGCAGAGCTGAAAATTAATGCCGCTATGTGACTATACCTAATGCCACTGCGCTATGGGCTTAACAACGGTTAACATGGTTAACACTTTCTGGTATGTACATTCACCGTAGTAAGAAGAGACATCGTGGAGAAGATTGGGGAGAAAAGATCACACGCGTGGCTCAGGCGATCTGTCCTTAAAGTCCTGCCTGACTGGTAACCGGGCTTGGTGACACACAGGTCTTGGGCTGTGTGGCCCCCACTGGGCCCAGATGGGACCTGGTGAAGGCCATGTGTTCAGACAGCCCAGGGAGCAGGGGAGGATCAGGAGGCCAGGGCCCCGCCCCTGCCAGGTGGCGACAATCGGTCTCCAGGGGCCCACCCCTTCCTTCTTCCTATAAAACCCCAGAGAAAAGTCAAAGTGCGCCATAACTCCAGGGGCCTGGCCGACGGACGACGGAAAGAACAGGCTGGCCTTTACCCTGACTTCGTTTTGTAAGAGACGGTCTTTCCTCCTCAAAGCCGCTCACCCAGGACGTGTGTGCAACACAACCGAGCTGGCCACAGAGCTCTTGTCGGAGGAGTGTTCTTACCGGAGCCCCACACAGAGCGGAGGTGTGCCAGCGTGTGTGTGAGCGACTGTGCCCGGGAGTGTGTGAGTGTGCATTCACCTGTGTGTGTGCGTGCGTGCGAGGGACCGCTGTGACCCGGGAGGTATTTCTGAAGTATTCCTACTCGCCCTTCATCTGGTTCCAAATGGGGTCTATGTCCTCTTTCTTGCTGTATGTTCTCTGCAATTTCAGCTTCTCAAATGAAGTGTTTAAGAAAAGAAGCCCTGCTAATTCCATCCCTGTAATTTTCTCACTGGGGAACAAGCTGAGGCCTATCAAGCCGGCTGCACTGGACGAGCGGGTGATGAGACGCCAGGTTCTGGATGCTTCCGAGGCCCAGGGCACCACCTCTCCTCAGGAAGGCTCAGGGGTCCGCCTGCACGTCAACTCACACATCAGGCGTTAGAACTGGAAAATAATTCTCTGGGCACGGCCTTAACAGGGAAAAGACAACGAAAACTAAATACCCTTGCTGCCATTTCCTTCCGGTTGGTTTCTCTGGTTACTGGGAAACACACTTGTGACCTTTTCTTCCACCGGGGGTGTCTCTTGGCCCTGACGAGAGCCCCAGCCCCTTCGAAAAAGCCACTCACAAGCATCCACACTCTATTTCTGGCATGTGAGGGAGACTCAGAAGCAGGTGCTCCCAGCACAGAGGGCAAACCAGGGTCCAGCTGGGTCCCTTCTCCCTGCGGCGAGGGGCCCTCGGCCAGCACTCGGCCACAGGCCTCAGCCCTCGCGGGCACATGGGCTGTCCCTCAAAAAGAGGCTATATCTGGAAAAACAGAATTTATAGTTAGACCCCAGGGAGAGAAGAAAAGCAATCCTCTTGTCTCGTGCCAGATGCTGGGCTTAGCCGGGGTGGGCCTGTGTGAGTCCCAAAGGCCACCTCCTCACAGACCCCGCCCCATGAACCCCTCAGCCTCCGGCTTCCTTTTCCAATGCCATTTCCAATGGTCATCTGACAGAACTCTGCCTCCCCCGCACATCCTACCCTCTATCCCCAGGGCCTGCGCACAGCAGGGACTCCACAAAAGCCTGCCCGGTGAGAAAACGTTAATCGTTAATTGGGGGATGGGGTCTCTAGGCTGGCACAGAGAAGTCCCAAGACAGACTGGGCCTGAGGGCCACTCCTGGGGGCACCCTAGTGAGATCAGCTCTGACATCCACAGCAGCCGAGTCAGTCAGACTCAAGACCCCCTGGGAAGCTGAGAGAATCTGTGTTTGGGACAAACAAGGACCTCTTGCAAACCCAGGCAGAAAATTTCAGGTCCCCCGGGCCGGACAGAGGGTGGAGGGAGAAAACAACCCAGTATCAAAAGGGTTCCACGCCCTCATCTGGGGATGAACCCATGTGGGCTGGCAGAGCAGATGTGGCCATCTGCAGTCCATTGCTGATTCGGGGGGACTGCCAGGCTTCCCCCCCGACAGGGGCCACCCAGCCCAGCCTTGCTGACTGCGGCTGCACAGCTGCCAGGGTCCTGTGGGCCGTGGCTTTTCCTTTGGGTTCTAGAGCAACCACGCACACTGGAAGGAGACAGGCATGTACTTCACGGGCCGCCCCCGACCGACATCCGAACCCAGGTCTCTGGAGCGCCACACGGAGGCACCGGAGACAGATTCAGGAGCTGCGCGGATATTCTGCTGGGCTCTCTCGGAAGGCGGGACATGGGTTCTGGAGTCGCCCAGGCTGGAGCTCACGTGTGGGATCCTCCACTTGCGGGCTGCACCGTGGGGCCGAGCCCTGGGATCTTTCTGAGCCCCCGGGGTTTTCAGCTGCACAGTGTGAGGGGCAGGGTGGCAGGTCTCAATAAGGGGGCATCTGTCAAGTGTTTACGAGCACAGTGCTTGGCCCGTGGGGGGTCAGGGGGCTCGCTGGGGAGGTACAGCCACCGGGGCCTATGGGCAGGTCCACACCGCGTACCAAGTACACACTGAAAAGGCCGTGTAGGGAGTTCCCAAGGCACAGCGACTGCTAAGACAGTGGGAAGGTCACCCCTGGCTTTCAGGGACATTCTTGGATCATTCTGGGTTTCAAAACCACAGAGACATGGAAAACTGGGCCTGTCTTGTCCCCTGATGGATGGCGTCTCTCGTATGCTTCCCCAACCGAACACCTGACCGTACGCAGTGTGGCTTCCAGAGCAGAGGCCACTGGCGTTAATTCCGGCTGTGAAGGGCCTAGCAGCTGCACCGGGAACTTCCTGGACTCACAGGCTCTGGAAATACAGGGGGAGGAATGCTTCTGATTCCACACTGTGTCCTCAAAAACCACTTGGAGGACAAGTGGCCCCTTGACTGGGCTGCAGCTGTTGTCTGCTGTCCGGGCCGGGTGGGCTGTCGGGGGAGGCCCTGGCCCATCCTGGTGCCCGGCCAGCCCTCCAGGGACGCTGCCTGGGTCCGACTGTGGCCGGGGCCCCGTGGGCGGGGAGTCTGGTGCAGAGGCAGCACAGGGCCGGCCTCTGCCGGTCAGGAGCCCGAACGCTGAGGCCCCGCTCCGGGCCGACATCAAACCAGGAAACTGGCCGAAAAGCACCCGTCCCGACCAAACCTGCCTCCCTTCCACCCTCCGCTTCCTGTTCTGCACGGCCTGGTAAGATGCCAGGCAGACGCTGGAACCATCTGCGTAGGCCTGCCCTTATGAGGAACACGGAACCCTTATGTGCTGCTCTCTGCCTGGACCCAGGAGGCTGAAGCCTGGCCGGGAAGTCTGTCATGGAGAAACTAACCGACTCCTGGAGCTGGGGCCCTGTGGCGGGGAGGAGCTCGCGGGTTCTGATGCTGTTTCTAGGCATCGAGAGCTGGGTCCTCAGTTAAGAGCGAAGTACAAGACGCCTGACAGGCGGGCCCTTCGTCGGGGGGTGAGTTATTTCAGCGTCTGCAGACATATAGGCAGGCTGGGCCGCAGGCTTTTACTGTCAGGCAAGCATAAAAAATGGGGACTCGCGCACTTGCCTCGGCAGGCCTGCGGGGACGCCCCGAACGGGGGCAGACACCCAGGAGAGCCTGACCGTCACGTATCGACTGGAACTGCCTCGCTACCTGACAGCCAGGCTGACAGCCGCTGCGTTTGTCAGATGAGAAGACCTGTCATTGGCACCGTGCAGGGGGTGGTGGGGGTGGGGACGGAGGGGCTGAGGGAGGCCAAGAGAGAAGAAACTCGCATTCTGGGGACCCTGAACCTCGGGGGGAAGGCACAGAGCGGAGCCCCAGGGGGCCACGCTCAGGTGAATGCCTAAACAGAGGCCCGACTTTGATGATTTGGGTCTTTGCCGGTTTTAGTTTTAGACTAAGAAGCACACGGCTCGTTTGTTTAGCTGTTGTCTGTGCTTCCCGAGAATGAAAGCAAGGGATACGTAGCTCCGCCAGGAAGAGACCTCATGTGTGTCTGGATGCACACAACACGGACATGGCAACGTGCACATGCAGGCAGCACGTGGGCGCACACACAAGCACACGAACACACAGCCCTGGTCCCCAGAGCCGGTTCGAGACCAGGCTTCGGAGGGAGGGGGAGGGCCGTTCTGGGCTTCTGGAGAGAGCTCCGTCTGGACGTCCCGCTACGGGCCTGGGAATGGCAGCCACGCATGCAGCCAAGCTCGGATCAGGCTCAGAAGGAGCTCAGACAAGGCGGCTGCCTCCCTAGAGCTGGGGCGGTGGCGGGGCGGGGCGGGGGGGGAGGCGTGGAGCAGGTGCCGAGTGGAAGGGGGTCTAAGTGAGGTGGCTTGAGGGTGACCCCGCTGCCTGGGCCTCGTGAATGTCAATAGTAGATGGACGTAATGGATGCTCGAGGGAGGAGGGGGGCTGCAGGCAGGACGCTGAGATGCCCTGGGCCACAGGCGCGGAGATCGGGCTGGGTCAACCCTTTGCTGGGGGATGGAGAGGCTGAAGATTCCGGAGAAGAGTGGGCACCGAAGGAGATCTTGGGCTCTGGTGCTGAGGGGACGACATCCAGGGGCCCTTAATTTCCTGGTACCACAGGGGCAGGTGGCTTCTATCAAGCCCCATCCATCCACAACCTAACTAGAGTTTGGTCAGGCGCCCCTGAAACGTGATAGGCGAGGAATGTGGACGGGACCCTGAAGGAACAGCGAAGCATGAGGAGGGTCCCCAAATGAGGGTACAGACCAGAGTCACTGGGGGCTGCCCAAATCAGAGACGCCCGGGGCCCTCCAGACCCACAGAGTTGTGCTGCTGGGGTGGGAAGCCTCACGCACCGTCAAGGCCACCACCAGCAACCGCCCCCCCCGCCCTCCGCGCCCTGCTCCTCTGGCTGAGTGGTGGGGCCACGATGTTCAGGAAAAAAGCCTGGTGCCCTCCTCCTGGGATCTCACACAGCACGGTGAGGCGCTCGCGTGACCCACTCACACGTCTCACCGCGGACGCCCCGTTCGCGGGGTCTGCCCGTGCTATGTCTGCACCTGTACGAGGTCCAGGAAGGCGAGATGTGCCTCCAGCACATGCTGACGGACTCTCGAGAGGTGGGCCCTGGGCACAGACGACTGGACTGCACCATTTACAGAAGAGACTGGTACGGTATGAAGGCAAGAAAAAATTAGCAGGGACGCAATTCTTCCGCCAGTTGGAAACGATCTCGTTGGGGAGACCCCTCCTCGTGGGGGTGACAACGGGGCGCATTCAGACTTGGCCGCTCGCCATCTGTCCCCTCCAGCTGTGCGGTCAGGGGAGGGGGGTCAGCGGGGGGTGGGGGTGGGGGGCGCCAGCCTGCACAAGGAGTGACTCCTTCCCTGCCGGGAGCTAAACCAGTCGGCCTGTGGGCCACGCCCCATCAGAACGAACCCAGAACCCGGAGCGGCAGTGTCCCCAGACACGGAGGCGAGGAGGAGCTGGGGGTCAGCAGTCTTGACACTGAGGGATCACAGAGTTCCCCGAGGCACCGCCCCTCCCCCGCCCCACGTCACGCGGGCAGTACCTGCCGGGCTCTGGATGGCGGAAGGGGTGGACGACAAGCTGGCGCCTCCAGAGTCACAGTGGCTGGTGCTCCCGCTGCCGCTGGGGCTCCCGCTGGCAGACGGCGGTGGCGAGGACAGGGACGGCGAGCTGTGCTGGTTTATGCACTGGGCCACGGCAAAGCCTGCAAGACAGGCGGGGAGGTGACTAAGCAGGAAGAAACACGCTGGCCCGGCAGGAGGGGCGCCGTGCTCCCCAACTGCGTGTGAGACCCCCTGGGGCAAGCCCGCACCTCAAAGGTGGGGCCGGGAGCCTTAAGGCAAAAGCAACCCAACCCGGCGCCCTGAAAGTCTGGGTCCGCTCCCCAGAGTGAGCTGACCTCTCTGGTCACACCTGGACACGCTTCAGAGCTGTTTCAAGGAGGAGGGTGCAGCCGGCCATAGAGCTGAGGGCCGCGAGCCATAAATCTGAGTGCTTGACGCTGGCTCAGCAACGGGCTGGCTGTGCCCTTGACGGGGACGCGCAGCCTTGGGGCTTCAGAGGCATCGTGGTGAAGCCCACGTAGGGATGTGAGACACCCTCACGGCAAAGTCTTGGGGCCCTTGCGAACGCCCCTGAGTTCTGTCCAAGGCAGGCCACTGGGCGGGAGGGGGAGGAGCCCCCCGGACTCTCCCTGTCCCAGATTTTGCCCCGCTCTGGAGGCTCTGGTGAAAGGCGCCCGTACGTGGGGCTCCACCCTGCCCTTGGAGCGGCTCTGGGTTGAGAGATGGGGACCGCACGTTTGTGAGGCCCGCGAGCGCCACACTTCGGAGACACTCAGAGCTCTACTCACCTCGCGGACGCGGAAGCACACGCGGCCAGCACCACCCCCCGACTGTGGGCTGGGGGTATCACGACCAGGTTCTCGTCACCGCACTGCAGTGGGGGTATAGCGGGGCACGGGGCACGCGGGGAGAGCAGAGTGTTCTTTATGGCGAGAGGACCCCCTTTTCCAGGGATGTGTGCTTTCTGTCTGCAGACCGTGGCTTCTGCCATTTTCACAGCCTGCTTTTCTCAAGGCCCGTAGCTTCTGATTTTACTCACTAAACGCACGAAGTTCCCATGGAACAAAGGCCTTGCTGACGAGCCCAGGGGACTACATGGACCATGGTGGCTCCTGCTTCAGCCCCCACGAGCTGGGCAGGACCCTGGTCAAGCTGCTTCTGCCCCGTAATTCAGAAGCGGCACCAAATCGGAATGCGAATTGGGGGGCAAGTCCCCCTAGGTGAGAGGGGGGACCCCAACCTCCTGGCCAACCACGTCAAAACTCTCCACTCCGTAAGCATGCCCGCCCCAGCCAGCCCCAAATCTCATTCGCGCCACCTGCACTGGCTGAACTTCATAGTGCCTGGCTCCTGCTGACACTTCTTCCAGAAGGTTCTCTAGGCCCTGACCTCACCTTTCTCAGAACTCAAGAAGGCGGCAGGGGGGTCAAGCAGCAGTCAGCAAACTACAGCCCACTGTTTTGTAAATAAAGTTCACCTGGAGCACAGCCACGGTTCCTTGCTTGCATACTTAGTCTGTGGTGGCTTTCGAGCTACACTGGCCACACGGAGTAGGGGCCACATGACCTGCAAAGCCTGAAATATTTTACTCTCTGGCCCTTGACCGAAGCAGCACATGGAGCCTGGACTCTGGTGCCAGGAAAGCTTGGGTTCTACCCCCGATCCGATCTGCTCACTTACCAGCCCGCGGGGCGAGTAACTGTACCGTCCTGAGCCCCTTCCCTTCACCCACCGGTGGGCAAACATGGGCCTGGCTGGGGTGGGGTGGGGGTGGGGGTGGGGGGTGGGAACCTGCTGCTTCGTCCCCACTCAGGACTAGGGGGACCCGGTACCCGGCCCCTGCGGAGGAGCTATTTGGTATTAATGTTTGTGTGAAGTTATTTTTGCCTGAGGATTGGCTCCTTAAAAACTGGGTCTTTATTATCTTATTTTGATGTGACTTTTTAGTGATTTTTATTTGAGTACAGTTGACACCCAATGTTCCATTAGTTTCAGGTGTACAACTTAGCAACGAGTCAAGGTTCTACATTATGCTGTGCTCAGCACAAGTGAGGCTACCTTCTGCCCTGTTATATCGTCACTATTATAACACTCTTTATTCTTTACGCTCTGCTTTTTGTTCCCGTGACTTAACTCGTTCCCTAACTGGAGGCCCGTACCTCCCGCTCCCCCGCACCCACTCTACTCAACCCCTACTCCCCTCCCCTCGGGCCGGCAGGGTCTGTATTTCTACCCCGGGCCAGGCCCTCCGGGTTGTGCGATGTAAGGGCAGGTGGATGTGAGGCCTTGTGGGAGCGGGGTGGGTATTCGCCAGCTTCTCTTTCGTGGCGGGCACGAGGGCACGACTCCCCACCCCCGGCCTACTGCGCAGGTTTGCTTGCAGGGAGCGAGCGCAGGCCGGACGCGCTGGAGTTCCCAGCGAGATGCCGTTACGCGATACACGGTGTCTGTGGCGGAGGGGGAGGCTCCGATGAACTCCGGCAGGCGTCGAGGCGAATCCAGACGCCAGGCAGGAAGATTCCCAGGGGGCAATCAGCCGCAGCCCCACAGCACGGGCTTTATAGCCGCTTACTTCTTAATCACTTCAAGCGGTAAACCCCCAAGTTTACAAGCTGTTAACTTGACTCGAAAATGAATCACGCCTTAACAAATCAAAACGTCAAGATGGCTTTTCCCGAGCTGCGCATTTATCGGCGCGACGAACACCGGGGCCGCCAAGAGTGGTAACAGGGTCGGGACTCAGCCTTTTAGGCTTCCGACGACGCCCTGGCCGGAATGAACTGACAGCGTGGCCGTCACTAAGGTGGTCACCTACCTCTTCTCTGAAGACAATGTCTTCTCTCTCGTGCTCTTTAAAGCCCTGGCTTATGCCCTGGGGCATGTGGGGCAGCAGACAAGGTGCTGAAATTCAGCCAGGAGACTAAAGTTCCTTCATGTGGGGAAGGGGTCAGGGTCAGGCCAGAGATCGACCGTAAATACTGCGGACCTTTCGTACGTGCCGAGAATTAAACAGAAAAAAAAAAAAAAAAATCACCAACTTCTGATCCCACCTGTCGGCAGGGTCTAGCTGAGCGGAGGCGACTGAATACATCCCTCCCTTGCTTGCTGCTGTGCAAAGGGCCCTCCCTCCTCCGCCCTGCTGTGTACTCCTCTCTCCCCGCCCCCTGGCACTGGGGACCCAGAGAGGCTCAGGGACGTTTTTTCTTTTTGCCAGGTGCCCAGATTCTCCCTGTCATTTGAAGGGGCTCCTTCCCAGATGGAAGTGGCAGCCACTTTGAGAGCCAGTTTGCCCGGTCAGAGGGTCAGGAAGGCCCTGGAAAGAACTCTGGGGCCCTGCCGCTGCTTCTTGCTCCATCTCTGCAAGGCGGTTCTTGGTGAATCAACGTCGGCGGAGGTGCCCAGGGGCTTTCTGGGCACGAGTCAAACGCACATGGATGCCAAGTACTTGCAGACGCAGACGTGCCAGACCTGGGACAAGGGCACAGGCAGAGAGGCCTCTCTGAGATCGCCTCCAGCAGATAAAATTCCTGGCTCTCCCTGAGGATGTCTCAAGAACAGCCTGCGAAACGCGTATCAAAGGCCATATGATTTTCACGCCATCTGATGGATTCCACGTCGAGAACTTTAGGCTGTGGAAAGCACGTGGGTGGACCCACAGAGGGAACGATACGGATGTTGGAAGCACTGATGTGTGTACAAAATGCCCAACAACAGGGAAAGGTCAAATGAACTCGAATACGTCTACGCGATGAAACCCTCTGCTGCAGTAAAAAATGCTGATTTGAGGGGCACCCGGGGGGGCTCAGTCAGATAAGCGTCTGACTTCGGCTCAGGTCACGATCTCGCTGTTTGTGGGTTGGAGCCCCGCATCGGGCTCTGTGCTGACAGCTCGGAGCCTGGAGCCTGTCTCCCTCTCTCTCTGCCTCTACCCCACTCATGCTCTGTCTCTCTCTCTCTCTCTCTCTCTCTCTCTCTCTCTCTCTCTCCAAATAAATAAATAAACATTAAAAACAATTTTCTAAAAAACGCTGGTTGGAGAGAAGATGAAGGCTGGAGGAAAACGCTGGACACAGTAAACGAGCAAAGATTAGAAAAAGCATGTCCCACATGTTTCTGTTATTGTAAAAAAAAAAAAAAAAAATCAGGCTCTGTCTCCCTCCTTGCAGAGATTGCAGGGATCAAAGCTAAAGTCATGGGTTTTATTACGAGAGTTCTCGTTTTCATTTTTGTGTTTGTCTGATTTTTTTTTTCAAGATTCTGACTATGATTATTATTTTATACCAGAAAAAGAAGGGAGGGTGAAGGTGGGGACAGGACCTGGGCAGGCTCAAGCTCCCGGGGCCCTAACGCACCCCTGGGATCTGTCCTGGCCTCCAAAGCTCTCTCCCCCCGACTAACTGCCTCCGCGAAGCCGGGGCGAGGCGCGGTGCTCCCAGAGCAGGCAGCGTTCTAATGGCGAGACGCGTCCCCTGCTTTCCAGGAGCGCGGGTGTCACAGGGGCAGGCCCGGGTCTTCCTCCCGCCCTCTGGCCCCCTTCTGCCAGTTATTCTGGGAAAATGAACTCATGAGTAACTCTCTGGCTTTGTCAAGCACACAAATACCACAAAAAGGTCAGCCTTCTATTTTAGGCCCACTGATAGAAGGAGCACTGGGCTGGGAGTCAGAACTGCAAGTCTGGTCCAAGCTCTGCCCAAATGGCTTCGCGACCTCTCCTCTGCGGGTCTCCACATCTTTATGTGAAAAACAAGACACTAAGTGAGAATCTCTTGGCTTAAATGGTCAATACTTTTTACCTACAAACACACATATGATTTAAGCACTGTGACCTTTTTGGGAGCAGGCAAAGGAGAAGACGCTGAAAACTATACGTTGAATACACTTTGTACATACCCCGCTCTCTAGAAAGGGCAGCCACTAAAGCTTTCCCTGGGGAGAAGCAGGTTGCTAAGTGAGTCAGGGTCCAGAGATGGCCGACAGCAGCCCAGGGGCTCACAGATGCGTCTTGTTTCTCTCACACCAGGCTTACGGTCTTCTTGTTTTACATTGGGAGATTTTTACATACAAATCTGGACTTCTGGGTTTTTCAAAGACAGAAAGATCCGGGGACGCCTGGGGGGCTCGGCTGGGCGTCCGACTTTGGTTCAGGTCATGATCTCATGGTTTGTGGGTTCGAGCCCCACATCGGGCTCTGTGCTGTGGGTGCAGGGCCCGCTTTGGATCCTCTGTCTCCCTCTCTCTCTCCCCCTCAAAAAAAACTTAAGAAATAAATAAAAATTAAAACAAATAGGAAGATCTGGCAGTATGGGGCCCCCGTCCCATGTGGCAGCAACGGGGGGGGGGGGGAGCCCCCCCCCCCCCCCCCCCCCACCGCCCGCAACCTGACTTGCTTTGTGCTCCCAGGTGTTCTGGTTGTTACGCTCTACTTATGCCCAGATTCTTGGTCAAAGAACTTCCCCGGGACTCAGGGAAGTTCCAGACCCCACAGACCTTTTGGGTCAGCTCCTTCCCCAAACCCTCCCCGCTATGGGATCACTGGCAGGGCATTTGACACGGTGCTGCCTGCCTCCAGCAGCCCGCGTGGGTCCTCAGACCGAGCGACAAGGACCACTCACTCTCTGCCTCAGCTAGGATCTTCCCTTGGTTTAGAAGTCACCTGTGCCTCTTTTCTGTCTTCATAAATCCTTTCCCCATTCTTTAAAGGTCAGGGACAGCCTGGGCAAGGGTTTCTGCCGCAAGCACGGTTAACTATTCTCTCGTCTGGCTCCCGCAGCCCGCCTCATCTGTTCTACAGGAGCGGCCCTCCCGAGTAGGGCCTAAGACCCTTCCTTGCATAGATGCCTAGGTGGTTTGTACAACGTTCCTCACTTAACGGGTAACACCTGGGATCCTCTGGGGTCCAGAGGGATTTGGACAGTATTTCTGAGACTATGAGTTGTCTCCAAACACCCAATTTCCCCTTCATTAGTTACAGGACCTGGCAGCTGGGCCTGGCCATGGGGCTAAGTTGTGGACAATGAGATAGAAATGAAAGTGGCACGTCGGATTTTCAGGAAGCCTCCTCCACTGTGCTTCCTGAAACATGGATGTGATAGCTGGAACTCCAGCAGCTGTCTTGGACCACGAGGATGAATCACATATTACAGATGACAGCACGGAGCCGGTAGAGGTTTGGGTCGGTCCCTCACGCTTTGTGCCGTACTTGACGATCTCCACTTCCTCTACTTGAGAGGGAGATAAACATCTCGTCGGGGTCTTTCTTTACTGTGTAGTCAAACCTAATCTTAACTGACAGTTGCAAAAAAGCTTTGTTAGTGCAGGGATGTAAGCCGAGCTTTGCAGGGGCAGGGACTAGCTGGTCTCCAGAGCTGGTGGAGGGAAAGCCGGTCTGCGCTTTCTGGGGGATTCTGGGAGCAACGGAGTGAGCAGAGAGAAGGAAAGGGGGTAACTGAGATGGGAGAGGTGAACTTCCTCACAACCACCTCCACCAATCTTTGGGAAACGTTCCTTCAACTCTTTCCTTGTGAGGTACAAGTGGACTTTTTAGGTGGTAACCAGGGAACGGACCGAGTTTCCATCTGGGTTCACACCAGGCCAGGCAGAGATCCCGCCAGAGGGCCCAAATCTGAGAGACCAGAGGGTGGGAAGGCTTGCACGTATGCAGCCGGAGAACTGGGGGGTGGGAACCAAAGGTTGCCTAAATCTCTGAGGGGCAGGGAGGTCCCAGCTGACCTCTGTCATCTGCCAAGTGCTTGTGCAGTGTTGCAATGCAATTCCTCGGGGGACATCGCTCATGTGCCACCACTTCTGGGTAAAACCTAGACGATGAGAGAACTACGGCGGCAACCGGGGGATTCCACAGGGACCCCGCGGACAGCTGAAGGGGAAGGAAGCCGGCTGGCCCGCCTACAGCTCACCCAGGAGGGATTGGGCACCCCGCTAAATGGCACGCGCCTCGCCCCACTGCCTCAACCCCTACAGATGTTCTTACGTACTACCTGCTTCCAGGAAGGAATTGAGGTGGCTTAGATATTACGTTATTTTTTTTTAAGTTGACTTACTTATTTTGAGAGAGAGAGAGAGAGAGAGAGAGAGAGAGAGAGAGAGAGGGGTGGGGTGGCGTGGGGCACAGAGAGGGAGAGACAGAATCCCAAGCAGGCTCTGTGTTGACCGCAGAGAGCCCGACGCAAGGCTCGAATGCACAAACCGCGAGATCATGACCTGAGCTGAAGTCGGACGCTTAACCGGCTGAGCCACCCAGGCACCTCGGTGGCTTAGATTTCAAAACCCAAACCCGAATGCCATAGATACTGAATGCTGAAAGCCACTGAAACACAAACTGAATGACGAGAGTACCACTGAAAGGCAGGTGGAAACTGAAAAAGTGCCCCAGAACAGCTGCCGGCTATGGGAAGCTGACGTCACCCGTTTGGCTCGGTGCTTCCTGGGAGCCAAGACCTCAAGGAAAAGCTTCCCCAGTGACCTCACTCTTGTGACACACAGGTTCGCATGCAAGGTTCCTGTCTCTACCCACTCCTGGAAGACGCCGCTGTCTGCCTGGAGATGGGGCCCCATTCTGGAAATGCAATGGCACCTCACGGCGCTTTTCAAACGTTTCTCCCTCACTGCACACGAGCTAAAAGCAGAACCGGCCGGCTGCAGGGTGCCTTGCCAGGGGTGGGCTTCTGCTGGCAATCCGGACACCGGTGCAGGTCCTACCTTTGAACCTCAGAGACACAGCAGGCGGGTCCCTCAGAGCCTGAAGGCTATGGGCCGCAAGCCCGGGCATGGCAGGGCCAGGCCAGTAATGTCGGTGAACGAGGAGGGGCCGTCTCGAAGGGTGAACGGCCCTCCCCACCCGCCACCTGTCTTCCCTTCTTTGGTTATGATGTGGGCTCGGAGGAGCAGTTCCCTTCTGTCAGGAAAAGAAACCCATCACGTGGACACTCGGCCGCTGCGTTGGGGGGGGGGGGTGAGGGCAGAAGGGACTGGTCAAGCACCCGGAGCAAGCGGGAAAGTGAAGCTCCCCAGCCCCTCCTGACCGCCGCTGCCTGAGAGCACTGGCCTTTGCCTGGCCGCGGTTTCCTGTTCTGCCGGGGAAGCTGGATAGGAGGATTTTACGTAAAACCTCCTGATTTTCAGTAGCAGTGACAACTTAATTCAAGTTCCATGTTTTAAACAAGCAGCAGGCCACCCCAGCCGAGGGAACCAAGGGCGCCCCCCACCTGTGTGGGCCGTGAGCGCGTGTGGCTGAGCACCCGCCATAAGGCTTCTGCGTCCGGACTATGTGACTCGGGGGCACTTTGGTCTCGTGAAGCTGTGCCTCACAGAAGCCCAGGCTTTTTCAGGAAAGAGCTCTAAGATTTCGAGGGGGAAAGCGGCCTGCCCTGGCAAAAGCCAAGATTTACTCATGCTCGTTCCACACTGAAAAGCAGAAAATGAAGCCTGCTGAGGGCCGATTCAGGAGAAGCAACCTGTGCATTTTCGGCGTTCTCCAATGTGAATGAGGCCCGTGGGGCCAGGTGCCCCCAGCTGGCCTTTTCATGACAGGTTTTCACGACACAGCGTTCGTGTTTTCTCACCGCCCCGGCGCTGCTGGGAAACGGTCACAAATCGGCATGCCTTGTGACCTCCTCGCGCATGGAACCGAAGACGGCAAGCATGGCTGCCGCAGAGTTTCTTCCCTGGATGGTTCCTTCCATCCAGGATGGTTCCTGGATGGTTTCCTCCCTGGATGGTTCTGTCCTTTCCCCTCCCAGTGCAGTCTGCCAGGTGCCCGGGTGGGAGGAGGGCTAGGGAGAACTGAGTTTGGAGTCTCAGCCTGCCGGGGGCCCTGGGCAGACCCCAGAGTCTACAGGGTAGGGCCGACAGACCACACGGAGCTTTCTCGTCCACGCTGTGGACTCAGGAGGCTGGCTCTGAAGCCCGCCCCCAGAAGGAGGAGAGTGATGCCCAAGGGTGGTGGGGGCTGGGGGCCATGGAATTGGGGGCCACACCAGAAAAGCCAAATTACCCACAAGTCTTCCAAGAGCGTGTGCATGGGGGACTGAGGAGGCAGGGTTCAGATTCAAGCCTAAGAGCAGCACACCCACAACGGGTCAGGCCAGGACTAGGTGCCCACACATGACTCTTCCAAAGAATTCACACAAAATGAAAGCATCTGCCAACACGGGTGCAGGGTTCAGGACCCTGTGGGCCAGCAGGACCCTTGGGGCATCCCCCACAGCTCCGTGATGGTGAGGGTGGAAGACACGGGAATCTGCCCACAGACCCTTCCGGTTTCCCTTCATGACGAACCACATGTGATTTTCCGCTACATGGGTGTGTGCACAAAGCTCTGGGCTTTAGGGGTGATCTCCGGGCTTCCCCCCGACAGGCCCCTGGAAACTGTTTCTGATTTGCTTCATGTGCACCTCCTGTCTGGTCCAGGGGGCAAATCAGGAGCCTGGGAAATGGGGCATTTCTAACGCCTCCTTTGGGCCGAGCCTGAGCAATGTCACCACAGGTCACGTGACCCCTAGATCAGTGACCTGAAAACACCTGAAAACGCCACAAGACTTTTATTTCTGGTTGCATCGAAGCGGGTAACGTGTCCAGTGTACAAAAATAGCTGGGACTTGCAGAATCTTTTGGCCTATAGCTCTGTATCCATGGACAAATCCTCTTGGATTCTAAGGACTATACTTGAAAACCTGCAGAAAGGAAAAAACGGCCTTTCAGTATCTTGCTTTCTTTTTGTGCCGTCTCTGCCCCGGCCTTGGCCCTCAAAGTAGTTTTGCTCCCCGGTGAAGCCTGCCTGAGTGGGCCACTACCGACCAGGGAGGCAAAGCCTCGATGGCCCCCTGGCTGCCGGGGAGCCTCTGGGCCGTGTGAACACCAGCTCCTTGCTGTGCCGGCACCCTTTGCGCTGTCTTGAACACGGGACCCTCTCCGGCCCACAGAGTGACCGGTCAGCGGCATGTGGGGGCACGGGGGCACTAGGTCTCTTGAGAGGCTCTTATGGCGGCATCACCTCGCTCTGGAGTTTTAAAACCGAAGGCTGCAAGGACTTGGACTTCACTCCCGAGGCCCGGGCCCCTGCCGTGCCCAGCCCCCTGCCCTTTCCGGTGGTATTACCGTCTGTACATTAGCAAGCAGAGAGCTCCCCAACACTCTCTCAGCAAAGGCATTAGAAAGCTCAGCAGCGGCCATCTCGACTGCCTCTCTACTAAGACAGGAACCAGGGCTGAAACAGCAGGGAGAGGGAGGTGGGTCAGACAGTTGTCAGGGCAGAGGGGTCACCGACCCCTGACTCCTGCGGTCCCGGCTCCCGACGGGGCAGAACCTGGAGCCACTGGCCAGGGCGGGGGTGGGTCACCTTGCTGGCAAAGGACGCCCCGCCCCCCTCCCGCGGCCGCCCCCCCCCCACCCGCGGCTCTCGCCAGCCTTGGGAGCGCCTGGTTCCTTCTGCCGAATTGTTCGTCTCCCCAGCCGTGCTCTGTGCGCTCGTGCCACAGCAGGGTTAGGGCCACGCCGACGTGCATGCCCGCCTCGTGTGTTCTACAGAGTGGCGGTGTGCACAGGGGCCAGGGAATGCGTGTGGGTCTTCTGCAGAAGGCACGTGCCCTCGGCACAGACTTAATAAATACGCTCCTAAAGCAGAGCCCCACACCGCGGCCCCGATGGCGCGTGCACTTTGCGAGGACCCGGGCTCCACAGAGTCGGGTGGTTAACTTCTGCAGCCGGGCCACGTCACCAAAGCCCCTCCTACCGGGTGCTTTAATGGATCGGGGTTGGGCCCCACCAGCAGATGATGACGTCCCGTTCCACGTCACCTACAGAAAGAACTGGAGACACTCTCTCCAAGTACGCGAGTCCGACAGAATCAGTGTGTCCAGAGCCGTACAGAGATCGCGGTGGAAGGGGGCCCAGAACAAGCTTCAAAAGCCATAAGCCAGGTCCTCGAGTGGACAGGGACTTTATCGGCTTCTGTCGCGGCATACCCGCGGGACACAGGCAAGCGGGCAGCTGTACGCGCAGCTCTGTCGTCCGCGAGGGAGGAGCCTCGAGATCACACGCTTGGCTCTGGGCCCGCAGGTCCCACTCTGGGCACGGGGCACGGGGTGGAGAAAGCGCCCGGGGTCTGGCCACCCCACGCGGACGTGCGAGCACAGGGGAGCCGCTTCACGCTGCAGGCTGGTGTGCGCTCCCGTGTCAAGGGGGTGACAGCAGCACACCTGGCCGAATGCGTTGACACAGGTCACGTGTTCAGGTGGTGCTGGCCGTTCTGATTACTTAACGGACATGCGTCGCACCTAGACCTCAGGTCCAATGAGGCAAGAATCGAAGATTTTCATCTTTGTGTGTCTTTTCTTTTTTCCTTTTTACATAAAAAATTTTTTTTAACCTTTATTATTTTTTTTGAGAGAGAGAGAGACAGACGGAGGGTGAGCAGGGGAGGGGCAGAGATAGAGAGGGACACGGAACCTGAAGCAGGCTCCAGGCTCTGAGCTGTCAGCACAGAGCCTAACACGGGGCTCACGACCTGAGCTGAAGTCGGACGCTTTGAGCCACCCAGGTGCCCCTCCCGTGTCTGTGTGTCTTTCCTTACCCGCGGGGGGTATTTCTCTTGGCTCTCTAGAGAAAACGGCACGACACAAAGCAAGCCTCTTCCTCCTGTGCTCAGTTGTGACCGAAGATCTTAGGAGTCAATGAAGACAAAGTTCAAGAGATGTATATGCAAACCGTAGATAAGAGGATGGGATTCTTGTTATTTTCATCAGGAGCCTTAGAATCTCATCGGTCACGTTTGGGTTCAAGACATGCGTGACTGTGTTCCGTCTTTGCTTAGGTGGAGCTGAATCCAAGTGTCCTTTTGAAAGATGTGCGCTGGGCAACACTCACGGGAGGAAGGGGAGGCGACAGCCACCTGGGCCTCCAAAGGAGTGGCTTTCCCCGGGTCTCTGTTCCTCGGTCCCCATCACATCCCGTGTACGTCCGTGTGTGGGTCCGTGTGTTGGTGCACGCACACGCGTGCTCCCTCCCCAGCTTACAGTCATCTTTTCGTTTCTAAAAGGCAACTGCTTCCAAAAAACGCTTGGAAATGATCTTGGCACTTAAGGGGGCATGTGTCTTCTCAACAGAAAACTCCGGGCAAGGGGGCTTGCGAGGCCTTGGAGGGGACTTGCCCCGCTTTCTCTTTGTGCTTCCCTGCAAATGCTAAGCTAATGTGTTCGACGCTGAAATCACCCTGGCTATTCTGCATTTGTAGTTTTCACTTATTTTTTTTTTAGTATTATTAATATTTCATCATAAAAGTATTGATTTCCTTTAACTAAGAGACTTTAAAGTTTGCTGCATCCTTAAGCATGATTTTATTATGTCTTGGGGCCAAATGTTTTTTCCTCCCCCCGCCAAAGGAATGCTTTTCCTTTCACATAATGTGTGTCGAGAAGAAAAAAGGAATTGATTCACAGAATTCTGCATTCTAGGCAACTTTTAAGGAACGTATCTAGTAGGTACACTGGATATAGACATCTCCTAAACGTGAGCACGGGGTCTCACTGCTGAGCCTTTTTGTTAGAGGTAAGAGCCCGAGCACAAAATTTGTGTTAACATGAGTCAGCTCTAAGAGGAGCTGAAATGGGGCAATTATGACAACTCCAGAGATGACCTTGAAGTTTAAGAAAGTCCTCACGGGTACCCCAGGATTCATCGAAGCCCCACTTCTCCTGCGGTCTTCCCTCTTCCTTTCAGAAAGCCAACAGCAAACGAGAAGACGTCCCGCGGGAATAGGTTGCTTAGCAGAGGTTTCGTCTCCCTCCCCTGTGGGGCCCCGGTGTCAGAGGCCGGCTGTGGACACAGGCAAAGGGCGCCCGGGTTTCACTGGACCCGTCCAGGAAGCAGGCGGAGGGCACTAACTGGCAAACCAAATGAAGCGCTCTGAAATGTTTAAATATTGAACATCCTCCTTCTCCTTCCTCCACATTCATTATTAAGTGGGACCCACACATCACTGTGCGCCTCGATTTCACTTCTTCCCAAGAATCCATGACCCAGTGGACAGTGCTCGGGGCGGGCGAGTGGGGGTGGGGCTGAGATTTGGGTTTTTTTTCTTTCGTATCCTCGCTGGAAATCCTTTACGGTCAGCTTGTTTTTAGAGCCATGAATTCCTGGAAACGTCTCAGCCTTTCAATGACCCCTGGCGCCCGAATGCAGATGATTAGTGCCCCAAATATTGACAGACCGGACTTTTTTTCCCCTTCCCAACAAGGGAGCAGTGTCAGAGCGAGGCAGCGCGGAAGATGCTGCGGCCACCGGACAAGTGAGGCTGCACCAACGTCACTCGCACAGGCGATCTATTATTTGGGACCCTGTGGCTCCCTCGGCCTCACCTAGGTAGGAACAACGCCCACCGTGCCAATGTCCGAAGTGCCCGGTTTAAAACAAAAAAAATCTGTCTACAGCTACCGGATGTCCTTTGCTCAGCTATGAGACACGGGGAGGGAGGCTGGTAGTGACACAAAGCACATCAGATGTCAGCGGTCTGGGCTCGCTGCCAGAAAACTCAAGAGCCGGGCCCGGCGTCACTCCTTGCGGAGAGGAACCTTCGGGACTGGAAAGATAAGCCTAAATAAAATCTTTCCAGAAAAGAAGGCAGCACCTTTTCTTGGGACCAAACAAAGGGGGGCCAGGGCGGGCCATCTGTCACGCCTGTGCGGAGAGCGGCCGCCCTCCTTTGGAGCTGCCCGCGGGGCGAGCTGGTTGCAAGCAGTCGCTGTTCTTGGGCTTTTATCCGTTCAAGTGAAATCGTCCCAAATGACCGGCCTACGGCTTCCACTTTCTTTTAAAAGACACTACTACATTTGAGATCGATGTTTGCCCCTGAAATGCTGGCTAAATTTATCCTTCCCTGCATCCTGCTCTCTGGTCTCTGCATGAAGCTGGCGAGAGCAACGCCGGCCCGGCCTTGCTGAGTGAAGCGTCTGTCTTGCAACGCTCGCTCGCAGCTGGGAGCGCTCAAGCACCCAGCCCTGCCTGTCCCTTTGGTCACCACGGACACCAAGCCCCCAGGTCTCCTAAGGGTTCCTCTGCTGACTCACTCTCTGAAGTCCCCGTGAATCAAGGCCCCGGCTCCCCGAGTTCTTTACCCCAGCTCTCCCAATCTACCCCGAAAAGCCATCGGGTTGGCTGGCTTTCAACGGCTCTAGAGGACCCCCTCCCTGGCCGGCCCCCGCCCCGCACCCCCAAAGCGGCTGAGTGCTCATTATTGGATTGCCTTTCGAAGCAGTGGGACGACGGAGGCTGCCGTGGGCTTCACGGGCTGAACTAAACCAGAGAACTTACTTCTCTCTCCTGGTCTGGCTTGGCAAGCTGCCCTGTGAGTGAAATGTCACTGACTGATTTCGTGCCTGATGCCCAGAAAGCCCAGTATTTCTGAAATCTTTATTCCCTATATGCGGTTGCAAGAGAACGTGCCCTAAACAGACACTTTGAGCTCCGGCTTCTATTTTGCTGTTAACCTGTGGACTCTCTTTTTGGCAGGAGTAAGAGATAAAATAGAAATGAGGCTGGACAGAGGAACGCACGCGGCCAGGCCGGCAGGCAGGCGCATGCGTGCTGGGAGGACGGTTCTGCCTGGAGGCACCAAGCGGGCTGGCCTGTCTGGAGAGCCACGCTGAGCGCAAGTGTGGGGTACAGGTGTGGGCAGCTGGGCACCCCTCACCCCACTCCGCTTTCTGGACAGCAACCTGGCAAGGTGTTGTCAGGAGCCTTCAACAGGGGCATTCTCGCGGACTCTAAGCAGCGGTTTCCAAAGGAGTAACCAGAAGCGTGGACAAAGATTTCTATACAAGGGTGGTCATCACAGAGCGAGGCATAGTGCACCAGAAACGACCTAGGTAGCCAGCGTAAATGGCCTGGCTAGGTCAATTTCGGCTAAACTTCAGACCGTCAAGAGTTGAACTGTGTCTCCCCCCAAATCCTCATGCTGAAGCCCTTATTCCTCAGAACGTGGCCTTATTTGGAAACGAGGTCATCCGCAGACAGAAGTAGTTGAGGCGGGGTCTTGAGGGGTGGGCTCTAATGCCTTAGGAAAAGGGACAGCGTGGACACAGAGGTGTGCCGGGGGCAGCTGCGTGGGAAGACGAAGGCACACATCGGGGTGACCCTTGCAGGAGCCAAGGAGCAACGAGACTGCCGGCCAGCAAAACGCCAGACGGGGGACGTGATTCTGCCATGACAGCGATGGTTCTAAGAACAAAACCCCACAACCCAGCAGCTCTGATCCCGGGCTGCACGTGTGCACAGAGAGGTGCATCCGAGGATGCCCACGGCAGCGCTGCCCGGGAGAGTGAAAATCTAGAAGTGACCCA